TTGCTGTAATTCCCCTCTCCCCCCAAATGTTCTTAAAACAAAGAATTACAATAACAAAACCATTAGAATGCAGTCTAATCATAGATGACCTTTGAAGTTAATGTAACAAGAAGGCTCCCACACTCTCTTGTCATTTTAACTAAAATAAGCAATCTTCTTTGTAAATTTTGAAACATAGAGTAATAACACAGGTGTGTACCTATCATTTAAATAGATATTAACATTTTGTCATTTTTATTTAGCTCCCTCACCTTTCTTTTTTAAAGAAATAACATATAAAACCTCTCCACCATCACTCCTTGCCTCCGCAGAGGTAATTATCCTGAAGTTGGTGTGTTTTCATTCTTTATACAAGAATATACTTATAAGCAACATGTATTACTGTTTTGTACATTTTAAAATTTTAATTAAGTAGTGGACTTTTGCAACTTACCTTTCTCCACATATTGTTTGGGTATTTATTCATGGTGATTCATGTAGATCTAGTTTATTCATTTTAACTACTGTATAATAGCCCCTTGTTTTGATTTATGGGGGTGTTTATGATTATTTGGATTTTCTCAATGAAGCATGTGATGAGACCCTCAGCTTGGATGAGTAGGAGGGGGCAGTAGGAGAGGAAGGGAGGAGCGTTAGGGAGAATTTGAGAATAGAGATATGAACTTACTAGAGAAATACAGTAATGTTGCAGGGCCCGTGCAAGGTTTGTGGTTATGAATTTAGAACCAAGTCTGTCCATTTGTGTGATTTTCTGCAGCTATGACTAGCTTTTCTGAGGAACAAAAAAGGCAAAAAGATATTTGAATTCAATCAGGAATGGAGTTTAGGCAAGTGAGAACAGTAGAGGGAAGATCAGTGTTGTTGAAGGTTTTACAGGAGAATAGTTATGATGGTTCACAGCACCAGAGTAAGGATGGAGGTGAATACTGAAGGGGGATTGTTTTGATTACCTATTGCTGTCTGTGATAGTTAATGTGTCAACTTGACTGGCCCACAGGGTGCCCAGATATTTGGTTGGACATTATTCTGGGTGTCTCTGTGAGAGGGTTTCTAAATGAGTTTAACATAAAGCAGATTGCCCTCCCCAACATGAGTGGGCCTCATCTAACCCATTGAAGGCCTGAATAGAACAAAAGGCTGAGTAACGGAGAATTCACTCTCTGCCTGCCTTTGAGAAGGGACATTGCTCTTCTTCCTTTGGACTTGGATTGAGACCAGAACTTACAGCATCAGCTTTCCTGCTTCTTAGGCCTTCACACTTGGACTGGAACTACACCATTGGCTCTCCTGGGTCTCTAGCTTGCCAACTGCAATCTTGGAACTTCTGAGCCTCAAGAACAGTGTGAGCCAATCTCTCTCTTTAAATAAATCTCTTCTCATATCCTATTAGTCCTGTTTCTCTGGAGAACTCAGCCTAATACATTGCCAACAATGCACCCCAAAACGTATCAGCTTAAAACATTTTATTTTGCTCACAATTCTGTGGTTAAGGAATTCAGGAAGAGCTCAGCTCACTGGTTGTCTCTGCTGCATTTGCTGTCTAGAGCAGCTGGGGCCCAAAGATCAGTTACCAAGATGGCTTCTTCACTCATGTGTCTGATATCTCCCTCTCCAGAGCCTCTCCATGTGACTTTGGCTTTTCCAGCATGATCTCAGGGTAATCACATAACTTACAAGGCCTGTGGCATTCTAAGATGGACTGTTCCAAAGAGGAAGTGGAAGCTGCCAGGTGAATTAAGGGCTGAGTTTGGAACTGGCAGCATCACTTTCACTGTGTTCTCTTGGTCAAAGCAGTCACAAAGCCTAACAGATTCAAAAAGGCAGAGAAATAAACTCCACCTCTTGATAAGGGAGTGGCAAGGCCACACTACAGAAGAGAATATAGGATGAGATATATTTTGTAGCCATATTTGGAAAATACAACCTACCGCAGGGATGCTGGATTGTGGAAAAGTGGTTGGTTGCAGTGTGAGTTGTTCCAATAAAGGTGCTGAAGAAGAGAAAGCAGTGATAAGAATGAGGTGCTTGAAGTTGACATTTTTCAAGGGGATGCAATTACTGGTGATGATAAAGGTCAACCACTGACCATGGGAATGAGGTGGCTGAGGAGAGATGGAGGCAAAGTTCACTGGAGAAGAGGAAGTCAGCTAAGAAGCCAGAGGGTTGAATGGGAGGTTAAAATGATAAATGAAACAAAGAGTCTCCCTTGAAGGAATTTCTCACTTAGACAGTTACACCCCTTTTTCTCTAGTTTTTTCCCCTGACAATTGTGAATGAGATTTTAACCCACCCACCTCACCCAGAAAAATATTACATAATAGCATAATCTAAAAAACAAAAAGTGTGTATTTGAATACCAAATTAGTTGGCAGAGCAGTTCAAATTAGCTAGAAATAGAAAAATTCATCAGCATATTAATATTCCAACTCTTAATACATGGCTGATTCTTTTTCCAAGATCAAAAATATGCAGAAAAGTTCTGTATTTGATGTTTAGACCAATGCCATATATTATTTATACTGATTAAATCTTTCTAAATTTGATTTACCTAATCTCCCTGACATGTACACATAAAGACATGCAGCTTTCTTGGACTTGTTTCCTTTCTAATTACTCAGGAAACAAAGCAGGAAATAGTCTAGGATGGGAGAAGCCTTCCATAACAAAAATTAATTAATAAATGGCATGGCAGATAACTGGTAAATTCTAACATCCATTGGAAATATGGAATGTTTCAAAGATTATATGAAGATCTATATTCTCTCCCATCATTCTCAAGGTATCAGGGATATTTTTTAAGAAGGTTCTTGATTTTAAGTGTCAAGAACCAAGAAATTCTAACTAGGCAAATTCAAAATATTCATCCATTTATTCAGTTAATATTACATTGTCAAAGAAACAAAAATGAATGAAAATTCTCTCAAAAAGCTTATAGTAGATAAGATACTCATAGATATTATCATCATATAACAAAGTATAAGGTAAATCCTGTTATAGTATTATAAAACAAAGCCCTAAAGGAACAGAGAGAAAATAACTTTGGAAAAAACCGATGAAATTCCACCAAAGATGAAATACAATTTTGACAGACTAAATCTAGGGAATAAAATAAGCAGACACAAAAACAGGCACCTGTCGGCCATGTTTGGGAAATGCTAAGTCCAGCGTGGCTAGAACACAAGATGAACAGAATCACAGAGGATCATATATATGATAGGTAATGAGTCTGGCTTTATTCTGTAGGTATTAGAGGGTAATTACAGATTTCTGAGCTGGAAAATTAAGTGGTAGGTAGGTGATACAGTTAGATCTACTGTTTAGGTAAAAAGTTGACAGCAGAGTGCAGGAGGATATGGAAGCAGGAAATTGAACATACAGGCAAGATTAACTAAGAGGCTCCTATAATAATCCAAGGAAAAACATAAAGTAGGTCAGAACCCCTAAATATAATTTAGAGGTGAAACAGGTTTGGTTGAGAACATTCTGAACTGAATATAGGCAAGCCAAGAAAATATCTTAAATACTTATAATTTATTAAGTGTAAAGAAATACGACTAGCTTAAATTATTCCTGAGTAAACTATAACTTTAAACAAATAGAAAATAACTACAACATATACTTAACAACTGAGTTGAAACAACATATTTTATAATGACATAAAGGTTATTTTCACCCATATTCTTTACTTTAAATAAGTATTACCAAAATACAACATATGAATACCTAAAAATAACATATTAACTCTACCAATTATCTGCACATAATTTATGCAAAAATTTAAAGTTTTTTCCCCCTATGGTCACCCAATAAGGACACCTCTAATCAATTTTTTATAATTAGCTGACACACATTCATAGTATCAATTAATTTTATTAGCCTGAAAAAACTAAGCGAAATATGGCCAAAAATAACCATCATGCATTTAAAAAACAATCAGTATACTATTTGCTGTGCAGTCAACTAATATTTATTGAGCACCTCCTATTTTCCAGGACCAACATGTTTGTTACCTTACCAAATTCTCAAAACCATACTTCAAGATAGGTAATAGTATTTTTTATATAACAGATGCGAAAACTAAGAATCAGATGGAAACTTGTTCAACACCATAAACAATGTCACATTTAATTATGTTGACTGCCAATTTTAAGGGATTATCTATTTTTCACATTTGTGTTGTTACCACTAAGTCTTTGCTTTTATATCTTTCTCTTAAATTTGTATAGATATGAGCACTATTTTATTTATATCACCATTACTTCTCTTTCCTATTTGTTTCCCTAAGATTATCACCACATATCTATAATTTCTTGCTTATAAATTTTAATAAAATATACATAGGTGGGAATGTATAATATTAAGTATTACTCTATCATTCTGAACTCTAAAAATGACACATTCAAAAAAGCTACACATTAAACAGACACAAACTATGATTTCTAAAATATATATTTTAAAAAATTAAGCTCATTAAACTTTTTGGTTTATAAATATAACCTTAGACATAGGATGTTAAGAAGCTTAAATGACTATGCATTATGATGATCAGATACATATAAGGTACTGAAATACACATTCTTTCAAGTTTAAAGTATCTCTCCTAAGAACTAGGCTAATGAATGGTTCCTTATTTTATTTCAACTAGAATAAAATTATAAAAGGAGTATTTCCCTTACATAACACATAAATATAGCCACAAGATCAAACAACACAGAACTGAATAAATATTGAGGATAATCCAACAGTTAATAATATCAAATTCTGCCAACGTTTAGTATTATGTAAGTATGAATTATCTTATAGAAAATTTGTTCTATTAAAAGTATCTTACCAGAAAGGGAAGGAACTATAAAGAAACAGACTATGTTAGAGACCTAGAAAGTGCTCTTTTTTTTTACAGATTAGAGACTGAAGCTCCATCTTGATAAGTAACTTGCCAAAGTCACATGCTAATGGTAGAACCAGGACTGATTTCTAAGCCTGACTTCTATTCTGGGCTCATTTTACCACATGTGTTCTCTCATTTTATGATTTAATAATATTATTTATTTACTATATTTTAACTTTAATTTGGAAAATTATCAAGTAATGAAACTTTTTCTCTACAGCTCAACAATATTCTAATTTTTCTCAAAAATACGCATTACAAGAACGGGATGCAGTTCATAACATTTCTTAGCTTAAGATGAGAACTTTATACAGGAATAAGTTCACTTTACATATAATTTGGTTTGGCTGCAAAAAGCTTACATAAGTCATAGCTTTACAACCTCTTTATATCATAGTAACTTCATATGTTGTAAAATGGTTTTCTATAATCTTGACATTTTCTTCAGACAACCAGTTTTCCTGTTTTAGCTGCCTTATAAGAGTCTCCAAAGACTTCAATCTTCCTAGAGTTTGTTGTTCTTGTAGCTCAAGAAGAGTTATCTTTGAATGTAGCTTTGAGACTTTCTGCCAAAGATGTTCCTTATTTATGTCTTGTCTGCAGTAAGAATGTTCAATTTGTAAAACTTCCGTCTCATAGTCTACATCCTTATATAAGGAATCTTCATCGTCAATGTCTTCCATTTCCACAGTTTCTTTTTGGGCAGGTATAAAAGAATTAATTGTAGGTTTGGAATTTTCTGTGGGTACAAAAATGGCAATAACAGATTCTTTATTTGTGTTTAATTCTTCAGCTGTTTGAGTAATTGTGCTGAATAAGAATGGATTTTCCTGTGCTGACTGAATTTCCATGGAATTATTTGTAAAGTTGGGATTAGCAGGATGATTGGTAGTTATTTCGAGACCTTCTTGACCTTCTTGGGTTTCCAAAGACTGCTGAATACTTTCTGAATTTGAAGTTGTCAAAGTGATAGTTGTAGAATTCAGGTTCTCAAAAGATGTGTGAAAACCTCCTATACCTAGGTCTTGGTTAACTGATGTTTCCAAGATAGATTCTGGTTTTCCAGTATCTTGTTTAACTAGATTAAGAGTTAATATGTTATTTTGGATACTTTCTGTTTTTGCAACTGGTGGCTCCACCACAGCAGATGAATCAATTAATTCTGCATGTTCAGGGATGACATCTGTGTTAACCATACTTTTCTTTGGCTCATTTGATGCAAATAATTCTTCTGACTTGGCTTTTAGGCACACTTCTTTCTCATCTTCCAATTTTTTCTTCTGAGATTTTTTTTTGGAAGAGTCTTTTTCCTAGAAAATAATATTTTCAAATTCTAAAAAAGATGTCCTTACTAGGTTTATTCTCTTATTAGTTAGTGCTGACTATTTAATTATAACTTTGAGCTAGTATACTGGCCAAGCAAATTTATTCCATTAAAAAAGTGTTCTAAATATATAACAACACACATACACTTTAAAGTGTTTTTTAAAAAGCATTAAGCATATCCAATATATGATGGAAACATTTTAGATCATTCAAAAGACCAGTAAAAAATCTTAGATCATTAACTTATGTTAACAACTTAATAATTTACGGATGTTATCTTTTGCTTCTCTTAAGCCATGCTTAATAATGGTTTAAATTTTTAAAAATTTTTCATACTTTTAGGAAAAGCAAAAATTAATTTCCTTTTTTTTCAAGTATCTGTTTTCCTCTGCCTGAGTACCTGTCACCCTGCAATCACCACCCTGCTCAGCATTATCCCCCCCTCCCCTGCCTCTAATACCTGATTGTCTTCAGGCAAAGAAAATATTGTCGGAATTGCAGTTTGTTTCAAATATCGAATACCCCATCTAATGTCAAGAGAGTCAGGAGTAAAATGGTCACTACACAGGAACTGGTATTTACTGGGAACCCAGGAATCTCGTTTCATATTCTTTAACCATTTTTCAAGTCTTTCTTTGTCATGTAGAGGAAACCTGAAATTAAAAAAGGAAAACATTGCTATATTTTTACAACTTTGCCAGATTCCAGGCCTGTATGTATAGTAACCTATGCACAAAGTGCTGCAAAAGCGAGGCAACCATTCCTACCATATGAGAACATCTTCCTGACAACTAATACCATATCCTCTCTGCAGCAAAGAGGACTAAGATACAAGATGTGGAGCCACAGCTTTTGTCTGTGAAGAGTGGCTTGTAAAACATAATTCTGAGTCCCTTCAGGTAAAATATATGTGTTTCTACAAAGGATAAAATCTATTCATGTTTTTATAAATTATGTTCTATTTTTATTTTGTTGTGTAGTTTGCCTAGAACTAGCAATGAGGTTTTTATAAACTACAAAGTCCTATTCAAATGTATTTCATACTAATACTACAAATCAAATGGTTTCTTCTCTATAATTCAAGGAAGTATCAAGTTTTAGGCTTTTATATTAAAATTTAAAAAATAAGAATACATTAATTCAAACAAGTGGTTTAGCAGACAATAAAATACATACTAAATCTTATAAAATTACTAATATTCCATTCTCTCTACTGGAATCAGCCTCAATTCTACCCATGTGTAGTTTAGTTCAGTATTTCTATACTTCTATAATCAATGGACTGGGAACTCTAAAATTCAAGTTCTGAAAGAGAAACTGACACAAGAACTAAAAAGAACTTAGATATTTTATAATATGAAACAAATCAAATAGAAAACACAGGAAGGCAAGATATCTCTTTATATGTGTTGTTCCTGTACTGAATAACCTGGATTTAGAGCTGGCTCTAACATACTGCAATGTGTTTTACTGGCAAAACTGGACTAATGGCAGAGCTCGACAGAAAACTTTTTCTACTAGTCTAAATAGATTTGAGTTAAACTGTATTAAACAATAGTTAACAGTGATTTACATTTATTTTGATGATTTTACAAGAACATAGTCCAAGACACTATATAATAATTTCCTATTTTTAAAAAATAGTAACAATATAACATGCAAAAAGCAGCTATTACACAGTCCCTCCAATCCCAATCATTTATGCTTTGTAGTAGCATGTTTTTTTTCCCTAAATACTGATAACTTTATAAGATGCTAGGGGAAGAGTCTGGGTACTTTATAGGAAATAACTTTTAACCCCGATACCCTTACATGGAAAAAAATCAGATGATTTACCTTTGGAAGTTCTTACCATAGATGCAATATTCATACATGGTTTGAAACTTTTTTAACCTTGCACATATCAATAAGTTAGGTTATAAGTATGACAGGTATAACCAGAAACAGCCATTTAAAGGCAAAAAAGAATCTTCTTTTCAGAGAACCTAAATTCTGCTAGCCACAGATAAGTTCATACCTTTTCTGGTTACATCTAAAATGAGACTATGCCTTTTACAATAATGTATTTTTTAAGGTAATTTCATGTATAAAAATACTGTTTGCAAATCATTTCTATTGTACCTATATGCTAAGTTATCATATAATTTTAAAAAATTTACTTTGTGAATATCCTTATTAGTAACTGGATTACAATGTTTTCTCAACAGGTAAATCTCTAAGAAATCTCCTGGAATGTTTCCTGAACATCAATTTGTTTGGTAATTTTGTTTCACTGTCTTATTAATTCCAAAAAAAAGCACAAAATAATCACAGTATAAACTGGATACTATACGTATATATTAACTGAATTCCCAAATTAATATAAATTTATACTACAGCTTGCTATAGTGTAAGCAGGGGCAAATTCAATTCTTCCAGTTTGGTGCTATTAGGGGAATAAAACTAATTCAATTTTTATTTTATGGATTACACGTGGAATTTAAAAAACTCACCAAAAAATTCCACTTTCAATAAATTCACATTTTGAGGAAAAACATCTTTATAATTGACTCCCTCTGGCATTATTTTTCCCTCCTTAAAAACTGTAACTATGTGGTCCATAGACAAAGACTAACTTAAAGAATTTTTAGTCTGGGAGTCATATCCCCCAAATCCAAGGCCAAATAAATCTGGAAAATATGTGGCTAAATCAAGTTCAACATGATCCTTTACTATAAACCTTCTCGGAGACAAAGCCTAAATTAATATATTGGCATTTCCCCATCAACTGACCATGGATTGGATTTTTTTCCCCCCCAAAAATCTGTTTACATCTTGTGGAAGGTCTTCAAAGGAGTCACTCTCGGAAATATTGCCACATAGTGTGAATTACTTGGGGTTATCAGTTTTTTCCCACTACTTGAGATAATGAAAAGCAGATGAATCATTAGCGAGCACAAACAGGCTTCACAAAATGACTGGTGAAAATCCGAAGTAAAAGACAACTAGCGTCAAGTTAAATGAATTATTTTTAAACACAAGAATAAAAGGAAATACAATGTTCTCTGTTGATTTTCATATGTATTAAGTATGTACTGAGTACCAGATGCTGCTTCACCTCTTTACATACTGCGAATTAGGTACTATTAATAACTCCACTTTATAGATCAGAGATCTTAGACACAGAGAGAGTTTAAATACTTTGCAGAAGGTCATTCAGCTACCAAGTAGTGGAGCCAGGATATGAACCTACTAAGATTGGCTCTGGAGTCTGGACTTTTAATTATTACATACTACTACTTCCCTGCTCCAAATAAAATGACCTCTTCTGTGGTTTCACGGAAACGTTTCGCGGCACTAGTAATTGAGAACAACACTTACTCTGTTCTTTGTAGGAATGAAGAGTATACAGAAGCCTGAGCAGCATACAGGTTATAATTCTGGCTCTCCTACAGAACTTTCAAGGTCAGTTACCTACGGAATTTCTGAAAGGCCTGTTTCCTTAGGAGAAAATGGAATAAGAGCTATGCGACCTAACTCACAGGAGGTGTAAGTCAGCTCGGAGGGCACCTTCCCACTCGGCAGGTCTGTGTGTACCTTAGGCGGTGGTTAATGTCGTTCAGGGAAATGAAGTCAGGTGGGGAAACGCTCTGCGTTCACCCCAACACGCCCCTACGCCTCGCCACCAGGCCCGCGTCCTCAGCTACGACGATCCTAGGTGCACTGAGCTCGAGCCCTCACGCCCTCCTCCCACGCAGTGGCCGACCACGCCCAGAGAGCTGAGGACGGATTTACAGAGCAGATGGGAGAGACCCCAAACCCTGGGCCAAACGTCACAGGGCCGCGGCCCAAAGGTAAGGCTGACGCTTCTGCTCCGAGGACAACTTACGGGTAAAAACTCAACTTCCGGTCTTTATTGTTTCGCCCCCGGCGGTTCTTACAGCAAATCGCTGCGCAATAGCGCGGCATTGCTCCGCTGCGGCTCGAGGAGAGCCGGACCAGCAAGGGGCGCAGACGAGCCCTCCTCGCTGAGGCGGGGCCCCAGGTGCAGGCCGCACGAGCCAGCGCGCCTGCGCCGGGATGGGCTACAAGGAAAGACGCCGCAACCGTCGACTCACTTCCACTTCTGCGGGCTCCAGCACCGCCCTTTCGGGGTTGGAGCCGGAAGTGACGCACAGGCTGAGTCGCAACAACAGTTTTCCACGTGCGCGTAGAGCGCCTGGGTCAGGTGGGGAGGCGGCAGCCAATCGGGAAGCGTTTCGTGTAGGTCTTCTCCTGAGGTGGCGGCGCCAGCAGCGCCCGCTCGCCAGTGGGGTGCGGGCTGAGAGGTTACGCGGCGGCGGCGGCGGCGGCGGCGGCGGCGGCGGCGGCGAGAGGACGCGAGGTCGGAGTACAGACGGCAGTGGGGCGCGCGCCGGCTCCCGAAGGCCGCGGAGGCCGGGGTGAGGGGCCAGGCCCAAGCCGCCGTGTGGAGCCGGTCGTCCGCCTCGCCGGCGCCTCCGCTCTGTGGAGGAGCAGCAGCCGCCGAAGGGTGCGGGTGAGGGACGAGGCCGGGTCGTGGGGAGGGGCTTTACAGCGTCCCCGGGGCCTTGCCTGTCTTTGTCGGCTGCCTTGGCCTGGGTGTCCGCCGCGGCCGCCGCAAGGGCTTCGGGCGGCCTGCTGTTCTTGAGAAGGGAGTAAGAAAAAGGAGATGGCCGCGCCGCAGAAGAATGCTTTTCTGTTTGGGGTTGTGCTGCTGGCTTCCTCGGGCGTCGGACAGCTCCTCCCAGGACTGGACCCCGGGCCGTGGACAGCCTAGACGGCGGCTCCTGAACGGACAGGGCGGGTACCGGTCGTCTTTGGGTGAAGGCTGGACGGCCCAACCCGGCCGGCCCCGGCCTGGGGGACGAAGGCCCAGGCTGCTGTCCGGTGGGCCGGTCTTGGGAATGAGAAGTCAGTATAAGCAAAAGTCAGTCTACTAAAAACGTGTCGGATATTCAACGTGAAAACGGAGTAACGTTTATTAAACCCGTGAGGTGCCTCTCGGTCAGTTTTAGACCCTCCTTTGACTAGGGAACAACCTGCAGTCCCGCGGCGTGCACAGTACGCGCTCGGGCTGTGGTCTTTAAATCCCGAGGTTGGACTTGATCCTCGGGACGCGTGACCATGAGTAACTCTCTGGAAAGAAGTAATCCACCTGTTAATTACGCTCGGCAGAGGCCCCGGGAGAGGGAGGCAGGCAGTTTCCACAAACCTTAGTGTCTTTCGTCAGCCTCATTCTGCCATCATAGGTTATTAAGGACTCCTGTGATACCGTGTCCGTAAAACAGGATCACTTTTTTTGAATCCCAGGTCATTAAATAGATACTGTCAAGAATTCTAAAACTTCCTTAAGGTTGGAGAAATATGTTGGTGACTGCTGAGAAGTTTGAAAATAAGAACTTACCTAAAGTATAAACTAGGAAAGTTCATTTTCCTGTCAGTCGTAGCAGAAATCTTAAATTCGAATAATTCCATTATTTTTATCCCAACTTATTTAACCGTGCTTTTTTTGTTAAATATTTGGGATCTTACAGTTTAAAAAAAGGGATTCCATTCTATTGTGTGACATCGTTGGTGGTGGTGTGATACTGAGAGTCTCTATTTGCAATCCTTGGCTCACCTTGCTGGAATGAAAGCTGAAGTTGGTGCTTGCTTAGGGAGGGAAGGTTACTGCTAATTCAGACGTACTGGATTATTTACCTTGTCAATGTACTTTTTTTTTCTCTGAAGTTAATTTTTTTTTTTAACTCCCTTAGAATATGAATTCCTGAAAGGAAGATTGAGATCCTTTAAAAAATTATTTGGATTTTCCACCGTTTTTATAATGCATATGATGTCTTAAATATTAACTGGTAAAAATCAGTTATTGAATATTTTTGTGTCTACTCTGTGTATGGGCAGAGTATTTGTGGAAAGGCAAAGGCAAGAAAGATTTTTCTCCATTTGGTTGGATTATATTTGCTCTCAAGCAGGTTACAACCAATTTAGAGGTAATAAAGCCTATATAAAGGACACAACATGAGAACAGATACAAGATACTATATGCTTAACATTTTGATACTGTGTTAAGTATACCTTATATCCTAAAAGTTCATTAGGTTGTTTTTTTTTTTTTAAGAAAAAGTTTTACGATTAGCTCCTTGGATAAATTATTTTTTTCTTTTCTTTTTTAGGATATTAGAAATGGCTACTCCCCAGTCAGTTTTCATCTTTGCAATTTGCATTTTAATGATAACAGAATTAATTTTGGCCTCAAAGAGTTACTATGATATCTTAGGTGTGCCAAAATCGGCATCAGAGCGCCAAATCAAGAAGGCCTTTCACAAGTTGGCCATGAAGTACCATCCTGACAAAAATAAGAGCCCTGATGCTGAAACAAAATTCAGAGAGATTGCAGAAGGTAAGTAAATGACTATCTCGGAGGTCTCACAGGTATTAACTAGTAAAGGAGAAGGATGGCTAAGAAGTGTGTGTATATTTGAAGGTTTGTGGTGATTAGAGGGGCTGTGGGATCTACATTTAAATATAGTAAGATTCTTGAGACTATTTTCTTATAACAGATACTTTGATTCCTGGGTGGATAAATAGTAGTATATATTTTTATTGGCATACAGATCTAAAAATGTCAAAAATATATTATTTCATTCTTTTTTTATTTATAAACTCGCTTATTGTTTCTATGTCAGAAGGAATTTTAGGTACCCAAAACTTATAAACTAATTTGTGAAACATAATTTTTACTAAGTATGGAGATTAAATATAAAAATATTAAGTATAAAAAAATTTAAGTAGACTCTGAAATGCCTTGGTTTTTTCCTTCCTCAGTTGATCTACAGTTCACAGACACATTTGTTATCTTGAAAGGAAAAGTATGAAACAAATTTTGACTTGACTAGTTCTAAAACAAATTTCACCTTGAGAACATTCAGTAATTAGTGGTGGGTAGAGGTAACTGAGCAGGGAGTTGGAGTTAAACATTTACTTCAACTAGTAAGGAAGTGAAAAATCTGAGTTCTTAATTGGTTATATTTGACCATTAAATTCTATAATAGAGGTAATGGTTTCACACAAATAATATGAAGAATAACTCTAATTATTGCCCACATGTCTATTTGTTGTAATGGTAGTATTCATTTAATAGATATTTATTGGATATTTAACAGGGGCAGGCGTTGTGCCAACTGCTGATAGTATGCAGTGAACAAGACAAAGTCCCTGCCTTTGTAACTTGCATTTTAACTTTATTCTTATGTTTGTAGTGTTTTGGTTTTATTTGTGATGGGAACTCCTTCCCTAAAATAGGGTTGAATTCTCTCATTTGAAGACGTTTGGATATATGTAATTTTGATTACTTTTTATTTCTTTCAGCGTATGAAACACTCTCAGATGCTAATAGGCGAAAAGAATATGATACACTTGGACACAGTGCTTTTACTAATGATAAAGGACAAAGAGGTAGTGGAAGTCCTTTCGAGCAGTCATTTAACTTCAATTTTGATGACTTATTTAAAGACTTTGGTTTTTTTGGTCAAAACCAAAACACTCGGTCTAAGAAGCAATTTGAAAATCACTTCCAGACACGCCAGGATGGTTCCAGTAGACAAAGGCATCATTTCCAGGAGTTTTCTTTTGGAGGTGGACTGTTTGATGACATGTTTGAAGATATGGAGAAAATGTTTTCTTTTAGTGGTTTTGACACCACTAATCGGCACACAGTACAGACTGAAAATAGATTCCATAGATCTAGCAAGCACTGCAGAACTGTCACTCAACGAAGAGGAAATATGGTTACTACATACACTGACTGTTCAGGACAGTAGTTTATTCTTTTTTCTGTTCTCACTAAACCCAACTAGTTGACTTGTCTTCAATATCTTTGATGCAAAACAATTTTCTGTGAACTGTTTTGACAAGTGCATGATTTCACTTAACTTGATATAGCTATTAAATATATTTAAATTGTTTTTGACAAATTTCAGCAACATTCAGTTTGTAAAGAAATAGCTAATTATTAATTTCCCTGATTACGAAAGGTTCTTTAAAAGAAAACATTATAATTCTGCGTGGTCTTTTTTTCCTACCTGCCCTTGGGCTTATTAATGTGGCCAGTTTTATTACCAAGAAAAGATTGTTTGCCTAATACATATTTAAAGGTTAAACTTTAACAGTTATTATAGATTTAAATTGTGTGAACTTGAATGATTTTTGCAGTGAACCTTGGCTCATTTAAAATTGCACGCTCTGTAGCATCTCTAACCTGGGTTGCTAAATGTATGTGAAACTGTATAATTGAGTCATTCAGCAAAGGATAACAGTATCTTGGTTAATTTCCACTGAAAGCTTCAGAAAGTCATGCTTTAATATTTACTACAGAACCATGCCTTTCTACAGTAGAATTGGAGTAAAGGAAGTGATTGTATTGCTTATAGTCCTTTAGGCTGAAAGTTGAAAACTTATGAAATATGGCCAAGAGATTGTTACATGTTTGGTCCCTGGCTAATGATTTGTTGTGTTGAAATTATAGCTACTTTACACATCTTTTCATATTTCTTTCTTAGTTGGTGGCACTCTAGGTCTTAATACGGATTTATGTATTTTTTTGTGTGTGGTTCCTCACACTCATCTTTATCTAGAGATTGACTAATACCTCATTCTGTTTGTAAAAACAGCCAGTAATTTCTGTGCAACCTTATTATGTGCAATATTTTTAAATCCTAAGAAATGTGTGCTTTTGTTTTCAGATAGACTTATTTCTTTAGTTCTGCACTTTTCCACATTTTACTCCATATGAGTATTAATCCTATGGATACATATTAAAACTAGTAAATGTCTCATACAACATTGTGTGTGAGAGAAATATAGTATTTACAGTATGATGTTTTCTATTGTCATTTATTATAACTTAAAAATCTATTTGACAATTCTGGAGTTATGGAGGGTGCATAAGCAATGAGGCTGCTTATGCTCATCATAGACCATATTCTAGAGGTTACTATTGACTAACCTGAAAATGCTGATAGGAATTTGTTTGATTGCCGTTA